CCAGCACCATCACAGTCCCGAGTTCAACTCGGGCCTTCCCAGAATCAACAAGTTTCTAACCAAGTTCCCGCGTCAATCAGTTTGATTGGCAGACGCCCACAGCGAAAACCGGGTACGCCCACCACGTTTGTTCTTACCGAGGAGCAGTACTCACGTCCAGCGGCATCATTTCTCTATCAGTTTTATCGCGCAGCCTACGCAAACACGCACGCAGAAGTTAAAGTGGTATCACCACGCAGCTACAATGTTTTGAATTCAATGTCACCGCGCTCACGACATTGCTAATCACAACCGCGTTGCCGCCATGATGCGAGCGCCCCTGGTGACCACCTGCCCCCATGTAGTGAGGGCACATGCAAGTGGTTTCAATAACGTTCTGATAATTTCAATGAGCGAAATCGTTCCGACTGTCAATGTGAAGTATCTACGCATAGACATGTGCAGGGACGGCGAAACGCACGTGTGAATCATCAGCTACAACCAGGCATCAAGTACAAAGTGGATAGTCTACGGCTAAATCAGAAATGCAAAGAGGTAAATTTGCGTATTGTTCATTTCCTTCACAAGTGGCGAAAAGGCAGGCAAATGTATTAACATTTGATGAAATTGGCAATCACTGCGAAGCCGTACTACTGCTACCAAAGAAGGAACTGTGCCATTATCATAGAAACCACCGTGAGGTCTCAACTAAACACAACACACAGGAAGAGACTGATGACGACAGGCACAACGTACCAACTGTTTTCATGTGGCATTATTCTCGACGTCAACCAGCCAGCTCTTGCTAATGCGGAGATCTTGCTGGTTGTGAAATACATGTGGCTGGTTTACTTACACAACAAGCAAGCACAGAATTCTCCTTCAGGGGAGTGGGTTAGGATTAGTGACAGTAACGCCCTTCCTATCCACAGAGTCGCAGTGTCCCCCTCCCATTAATTCCAACGTTCGAGGCTGACTTCACACTCTATCTCTCCCCACCCCACATAGGGATCCAGTCGCCGCACCCCATATTCGCGCTTCAAGGGCATGGGTGCTTCCGTACGATGGAACGTCCATGAAGACCTCCGTGGATTCCTTTGTGCGTGCGTGCGTTTGCAAACACGCACGCGCACAGCTGTGGGGACTCAAGATAAGAACCAATAGAGATCCAAAGCTCAAGCTTGTAGAGCGACGACAACGCCGCGCCTGGCTCTGCCGGCAAGCTCCAAGGAAATTAAGGATAGGCGCGGGAGAGGGCGAATGTAACTCATGTTGAATTCCAATGGCGGAGTCGGAGCAAGTTTTTCTGCTCCTTTCAGAGCAAGTGTGTTCCAATGACAGAGTGAGAGCGAGAGTCAAAAGTTCCAATGAGAGAGCCGGAGGGGATTCAGAGCGGAAGTCCCTCCGTGGAGCAGGAAAAACTGCTCCGCCGAAATCGGTGGAGTGGACCGGAGCTCAGCGTGACGCATTTCCTTTAACACGTTTGCCTGCTTGGGGGCGCGGCTGGCGCGGCGCGAGTTGTGTTGATAATGGCGGACGGCATGGACGGCTCGGCTACCTCGGCAAAGCGTGTGGCAATGCTTCTGCTACTCGATAGCGACAGCAGACATCGTGGACAATAGCTGTTGCACGCTTGGCGTGATATCCATTCCACACAGGTGAATAGCGCTGAACAAGCCAACGAACAATGCGGCGATGCTGGTAAACCACGTAGGAAACAGACAGCGGAAAAGACCACGTGCAAGGTATCCTGGGTAACGTGGCAGCTTCCGCCTTGCTCCAGCATGGCAGGTTGTGTTCCGATGGCGGATTTGGAGGATTTGCTCTACGCCAGAGTCGAGTGCTCGCTCGCGAAGTCGGTCGGCTGCACCGAATCCGCCATTGGAATTCGACATCAGTGTGTTTTGCTGAAGCGGGAGGGTGTGCGACACGCGCAGATCGCGTTCTGTAGTCGGCGTGGTGAAGTTAGGTGCCGTGCAGTCAGATTGGCCTGTTAAAACATGACGCTCGTTGTGCGAAGTGGCCTTTCCGTAATAGAAGAAGCGACCGCACCGAAACGTCGGCGAGGTCCAAAGTATTGTGTTGTGGGCTACCACAAGAATGCAGGCAACATCAAGGGACGCTCTCTACGTGTAAATCTGTATCGGTTCCCTGGTAAACCATGCCGGAAAACCGAACACTCAGCCGTGTTCGCGAAAGATTGAGCAAGCATGACACGACAGCCTACTGCGTCACAGCGAAGTCAGTCATGCTCCCGCGGCACGGAGGACATAGCTCTAAAAAGTCTCGGACACTACAATGCCATGACCGTATAAGTTGAGTTTTTATTTACTTTCAGCACGCCGCGAACGTTTGCCCGTCACAGTACACGGCGGCTACTGCTAGGTGCCACATCAAAACAACAATGATATGATTCTCATAAGCGCCAATGCAGCACAAAGATAATAATACGCGGCTTCATGCCTACGTAATGGGACTTCTTTTGTGCACGGTATTGTTACGGACTGGAGAAAAACATTTCGCAATGACTCGGGCGTCCTCGTCTTCTGTCGTTTGCTCAACATCATCAACGTGACTAACGAGGGCTATACTCCTCTTGTTAGATTCACTTTTCAGAAGTGCTTGTCCAGCTCACAGATCTTTTTGAAGCCGGGCGATACATTGTGAGGCGACTAAAACGCAACACGCGCACTCGGCACTCAGCGAGTGCTAGCACATTGGTAGGAAAGAAAAACGTGTGATATACAACCCCAATGATTACTTTTCTACCACAGATGGCGTTTCTTGTTCACAGTCGCAGCGCCACTACGCATTGCTTTGGCTCTTTATAAAGGCGCTGGCTCCCTCCTCACTCTCTTTCTTTTCTCTGTCGCGTAGTTTCGGCACAAGCTATTCAAAATACGCCACCAGGCCACTGCTAGCTGAGAGGCGAAGCTGAAAAAAGCAAACGGGCTGTGATTCTTCCTTGTAGAGTGCCTTGGTGCCGTGAACATACAGAAAAAAAACATTATTACGACGCCTTCTATCAGGACGCAATATTAACATACAAGCTTTCGGCTTTGTTTTATAGCTGGTGCCAAATGTGAGAAAAAGTTACCAAATCTGTTTTATATAAGTTCTTATAAAAATTTGTAAATGCAGCTGCTTCTTTGTTAAAACATTTAAAATTATGTTTACATTACTGCCTTTTTGCGCTTTATAAAGTCTGGGACGGGTTACGGCACCTTGTCAAGCATTAATTTGCCTTTTTGCCAACCCTGCCCTTTACTTGTGTCTACTGTACTTTGTGTACTGTACTTTGTATAATTGTATAATAATAATAATAATATTAATAATAATAAATGATATAAATCGAAAAGTTGATAACCTTTCCAAATATGAAAACGTTGCCAACTGTTGACATTGTTTTAATAAAATCAAAGGATATTACACTTACTTTATCCGCTCTTCCTGAATGACCTGTATTATGGCATTTATTTATTTCAAACTGTTCCTCACCAGTTTTTTTTTTCCGCGCCTGAGAGAACCCGCAGCATTTTGTGTTGAAACCAACATTGAAATTTTACATAGTGTACACGATTTCCTTAGTATATTTTCTTTTACCACCTGATTGCACTCCACTCCTCACGCCGTACGGTACATCATAAAAATGTGCCTTGTTATGCAGATATAGAACCTGCAGTTCTATTTTATAACCACCACCTATATTTCACAGACAGGGTGTTAGCTTTTAATGCTCGTTAATCGCCATAAAGCCACATAAAGTGTTCTGTATAATGTGATCTGCTCTACATAAAGAAGTAATCCCGAGAGTCGCTTCCAATTACTGACAACTCGTATATTTTGCGAGTGGCTTCATGGTCATATCGGTTTTTCTGGGATGTAACATTATTGATAAATCCCTGCCATGCCATACTTTATCATAAATCTAACTTTTTACAGTGAAAGCCGTTATGAAATCACAACTCGGGTCACGCGCAGTTGCATGTTGTCCACCGCCGCCGCCGCCAGTGTCCGTAACTACATCGTGCGAAATTAGAAAAAAAAAACCTTGCACTAATGCCACAGTGCGGCTCCAACCCGGGCCCAGCTGTGTGCCAGCCCAATAGTCTATCACGCCGGTGTTTGTAACCCTTTGTCAAACTTGCCTTAGGCAGGCATGACTTAGCACTAATGGCACAGTGGGGCTCAAACCCGGGTCTGCTGGGTGCCAGCCCAGTATTCTACCACTGAGCTACATCGGTGCTTGTGACGCTGTCAAACTTGCCTTAGACAGGCTTGATGTGGGGAAAGCAATAAAACGTTTTATAACAGCGAAAGAACAACCAGTCGTCGCACAATGCGAATAGTGTAATGCGTGGGCCGTCCAACGCCCCAACCTCTTACAAAAGCTTGTTCTTGTTTCCCTAAGAACTGTGGCGCATACCCTCTTCAGCCATATCTCCTCATCGTCGCCTGCCACTACATGGACAATTGGCACAAAATTTCTAGCGAGTGTTTAGCGGATACCACGCTTCTCGGAAGAATGACGAAAAATGGCCTAGCGAATGCCAGCCTACTACCCAAAAGTTTATTATTAATGCTCTAGTAGGTACCAAGCAGCGTGCTTGCAGTAGTTTGTCAATGAGTGTTTCGAAAAGGCTCTGAAAGGTGGCTCTTCTACTTTTTGCTGTGACTGTGCAGTGCCTACCACGCAGGCCAGGCTTTTTCTTTAATATAAGCTGGTATTCTAGACATAGTTTCAAGGACAAAGCATAATTTTATGATGCTGTAAACGAACGTGACGATATTTCTGCGAGTAGCATATATGAATCAGCCTCCTTCTGATGACATGTGAAAAAGGGCATTGATTTTCAATATTTGTTGTCTCTCGTTAAATGGTTGGCGATTACCATTTTTCCTCTGACTTGACGTCAGTCAATCAACATTCCTAGAAGTTCACAAACTCCTGTCGGCTTTTTAGCGGCAAATGTTGGTAATTTATGTTCGTCAAAGTAACATTATCAGTCAGCAAGAAGTTGACTGTGGTCATGAACGCCGCTTTCCTCTTCCCTGCGCTTTTTATCATCGAACTGACATACATTTCGTAAGTAGACGGTTGTGTCATTTGCTCAGCCTTTCCTCACGCGTAAATTTCCTCTTATTGCATTTCCTTAAGAACCCTTCGGAATGCGTTAGGTAAGACGTGAATTGGCAAAAATAATACGAACGGTAACCACCCCTATTTATTGTGAGACAGGTAATATTTCGTATGTTAAAGAAATAACAGCTGGCTGTATTTGATTTGATTCATGGGGTTTAACGTCCCAAAACCACCATATGATTATGAGAAACGCCGTAGTGGAGGGCTCAAGAAATTTCGACCCAAAATCTGAGCACACGGGCCTACAACATTTCCGCCTTCATGGGAAATACAGCCGCCGCAGCCGAGGTTCGATCTTGCGACCTGCGGGTCGCGAGATCGAACTAAGTACCTTAGCCAAGTACCTTAGCCACTAGATCACCGCGGCGGGGCAAGCGGCCTGTAATAGCTGCATAGTTGGGAAAAGGCAGTTTTATTCGGTGGAAAGAACGCGGCAGTGATTTTCGTTTCGGGGTGACGTAGGAGGGTTACTTGGAAGGCATGCTCATTGTAACGAAGCATGTCGTCTAGAGAGTTGAAAGCCTTTCGGTGACATAACATCTAAAGGAACATGAAACGCACTTAGGAGACAATGTTACGGCTTAGGCTAAAGGTTGCTAAGAATTTTTTTCTTACTTCAACGATAGTAAACTGACAATGTACAAACATGGTTCAAATGTAAGTCGTGACGTGTGGTTCTTCAGTGCATCAAGTTAAGCTATTTGGTTAGCCTGGTGTGGGCTTCCAATCAAAGTGGCATATTCCCAAGTTTTCCTCTAACCGTGTACTTGTATAGCCCAGTAGCTTAAAAAGAGTAGTGACACAAATTTAAATATTTCCTCATTGTCCCTCTATTTAAAAACACCGATGTCGAGAACTGTACATAAAAAGTATATTGGTACCAGGGAATGCATCCAATATATTTTCTATGCCACTACTTTGTAAACAAGTTTCAGTGTTCATATAGAGGGAACAGCTTCTCCATCGGCTTTCATCGCATTGTTACGTGACGTTACGGGTAGACAGGACCTCGCTCCGTACTAGTGGCAAATGCGGCATGTGCTCATGGTGTATGCAAACGGCAACGAGTGAAGTACACTCTTTCGACCCCGTCAGTGATTTCTGAGATTTAGGCTGCATACAGGGCACTGAGATCACTGAGCTCCCTCGTCGCATATCGATGAGTCGGAGGTGGAAGAGGAAGGAGAGGCAGGAGGGTCATCCAGACATACGTGTGGTTTACTATCATTCGCTTGGTAAATTTAGAGAATCGAGGGAGGTGAAGAAATCAATATGAATATTAATATTTGGGGCTTAACGTCACAATACCATCATAGGTAATCAACTAGAAATAGTAAAAAGCAACATACAAAAAAACTACGTTATGGCACCTTCGCACTAGGGTGCCAAAGCTGAATAACGCGCGGAGCCTGGAGGTGTTGGTGCTTCTATTCATGTTAACATGAATGGGTTTCGTACCGGGGTTCACCATGGTTTGGCTCACGCATTTTCATCACGAATATGACGTTTTGAAATATGTATATGTTTGGTATATGTTAAATTTGGTATATGTTAAGCTCGCGAAACAGCCGTGAGCGCGCGATGTGCGTAGCATCTATTCATGCTTTACATGGCAAGCATATCCTGATTATCATGTTTAGACGTGTCATTTACCTTCGTCGTTCATTCACGTTACGAAATACCAAGTTCGGTATATGTGAAGCTAGCGAAACGGCCGCTAGCGCATCATGAGTGTGGCATGTCGTCGTGTTCTAACATGACATGCATGTCAAAATTATTATGCTTGCACAGTTCATATACCATCGTCATACATACTAAATACGGTATATACCGAAATACCAAAATGCATGCCTGCCCCGCCGCGGTGGCCCAGTGGCTAAGGTACTCTGCTGCTGACCCGCAGGTCGCGGGTTCAAATCCCGGCAGCGGCTGCTGCATTTCCGATGGAGGCGGAAATGTCGTAGGCCCGTGTGCTCAGATATGGGTGCACGTTAAAGAGCCCCAGGTGGTCGAAATTTTCGGAAGCCTCCACTACGGCGTCTCTCATAATCATATGGTGGTTTTGGGACGTTAAACCCTACAAATCAATCAATCAAAATGCATACCAAAAGGGCAGCGAGTCACTATGAGCATAATATTGTTACGGGGATTACAAGCATACGGAAGGAAGAACTGAGTGTATTACCAATATTTACAAGTAGGTGAGAACCACCAGGGCTGCCAGCCTTTCGCTCGCTCAGTCCGCTTCTTCCTCTTCGATTAGTCTATGACGGTGGGGCCATGCCCACTGCCTCGCAACAATATGTAGTTCATACTTGAACTACACATTGTTCATATTTTACATGAAATGCATGTCATGATCGTTATGTTTGGACAAACATTTATCTTCATGAATTCACGTTACGTATTACCACATTTTGTATATGTGAAGCTGGCGTAACGGCAGCGAGAGTATCAACAGCATGGTGTGTATTCATGTTCGTACATGACACGCATTTCATGATTATCATGTTTGCGCCAGTCATGTTTGCGCCAGTCTTCGTCATTCATTCAAGTCACGTTGCAACAAACCTGGTATATGTGAAGCAAGCGAGAGGACCATGAGTGCGCCATAAGCGTGGCTTGTAGTCATGACTTACAAGAGATGCACGTCATAATTTTCACGTTAGGGCCTGTCACTGATGTTCCCCATGTGGTCACGTCATACCATACCAGTTTTGCAATATATCATGTGAACTATAGTGTTTCCTAAAATTAACTAGAGGAGACTGGAACTGCGATCATTCAGTGACCATAGGAATGATTGTAAGTACATGAATTCGCCTAATCTTCGTACTTGCGGGCGGCGAACCGTACTTGAGGCTTCGTTTATTGCTGGTTACTGCTTCGTTTTGAAGGAAAAAACGAACCTTTTCGAGCTTTGTGACCCAATTTGAAATGGTAAGCCTGACATCATAAGGTGCTGACGTGCAACCACTGAACATTAGCAGTTTTTTTTTTTTTCGCAAGAAAACAGCTCCAAGGCACACCGACACACACTCTGCCAGAAGCAGGCCAGAAGTATGGAGATTAGACAAAAATGGGTACTACCCGTCATTTTCGTGCTCGCTGAAGTGCCATACGTTTTTCAAAGGTAACAACTCGCCCAATTTTCTATACCACGAAGTTCATTGCGTCGCAGCTCGAATAGACACTAGCGATAAACTTTCCTCTAGTGTATATTAGGAAACTATGACGTCAATCATGTGACTGCGCTTGACAAATTGCGTGAAGTAACGGAACTTAATGGGATGAAGGTCCGCTCTCATATACCACTGGGCAAAGAAGTGAGCACTGTGGTCATATATGATGTTGCCGAAGCCATTGCCAACTCGCACCTACCAGCCTTTACCACATATTTTACATCAATACGGCCCCACTGCTTTAACCGTGCCGCAAGCGGATGTCAGTGTATGACCTTGCTCAACGAAAACCTTGCTTCTCCAAACCGTGTATTTACTAAGACGGAACATCAATATTCGGTTACTTAAAGGACTTGTTGGTGACTGTTTTGGCAATACAAAATTTACTGGTAGCTTCCCAAAGGAACCCTGATGAGATACGAAGAAGCAGTATTGCGCGCGGGTGGCGTCACGGGTGGACCGCCGCTAACGCGAGTGCTGCCGTGAGCACTGGAAAATTCGTTCGAATCGATGATGGGTATAGGTCCTGTCTGCTCTTCCGCGTGCACAAGGGCGCCGGACCGGAGCTGGCGCACGTTTTGCCTTGACTACAACGGCTTTGTGATTGATGAAGTGCACGCTGAGAGGTTCCTGCAGACATTCGATGTCGAAGTCGGCCAATTCCTGATCGACGCACGTTCCCCTTATTGTGGTGGGTAGCGTCCGTTCCGCCGACATGCACTTCAGCGACTGCACATCAAACATGAGATAGACGATCCATTCTCCTCCTCCTCCACTGACGTCAACGTCGAAGTCTCAAGTGACTATAAATGTGCGTGCACACTTGGCCTCGAAGAGAGCGAAACCGGCGAAACCCTCCGGAATCTGGCTGGTTTCGCCGCCCAAGCAGCTGGAAAACCACGCCGTGCGGCCGGCGCGCGAAAATCGGTCCGAGTGCGATTTTCCCGCCACGCGGAACCGGATTCGGTTTTCGCTTAACAGCCTTGACTGTGCTAGATCAAACCACGTGACCTACGCAGGCGGCCGCAGATTCAACATGGCGGCACAGACGTCGGCGTTGGTTTGCATCGGCTTAAACCGAAAACTACCCGTGCACTACGACGAAGCTTGAGGGCCTCAACGAGGACGCGTTCATCGAGAGCCTGACTTAGATTACGATTCCTGAGAACTCTGGAAGTAGACGGTGCAGCGGCAGTGAGTCGGCATGCCTTAACGTGTCTTGCGTTTGTGTACAGTGAGCTGAATGCGCTTTTACGCCTGCGAGTCCACACCGAACGTCAATGCCTCTGAAAAAGGCAATCTGTGTCAAGGCCAACAATCGTGCCCGCCTTTCGCGACCAACTCAACGACGTAATCAAGAGGCGGCGCCGGTCTGTCACGCAACGCACCGCGACCTCCCACAGCCCACGAGCCCGTTGAAGCTAGTGAGTCTTACGTAATGCGCGGGAACGTCACTCGTCCTTAGCTGCAACCACGCGCAGCAATCGGCGCCTTCGAGTCTGGCGAGTCTTACGCAATGCGTGGCAACATTCCTCGTCCTTGGTGCAACCACGCGCAGCGGCGGGCCCCAGTGGAGGATTTCGACATCACGGCCAGCAGCGCTTCTCGTTGGACATTTGGTTACTCAAAGAATCCACCCGGTGCCTATTGAAAAAAAAAAAAAGCCTTGCGGCGCGTCACCAGAAGCTGACCTTTGTGTGAGAGAACCCTTTCGTCGGTCCGAGCCCCTTCGCAGTCGGCGCGCCCGGTGTCCTTGGCAGC